GATAGATAGATAGATAGATAGATAGATAGATAGATAGATAGATAGATAGATAGATAGATAGATAGATAGATATTTGGGTATTTTTCTCTATGTGTGAGTCTGTATATGCACACTTGCATGCAAACACATATATAGGCACACACATAAGTATAAACATATTTCTGTTTATGTTGAGTTGGAGTTGGCTAACCTTAAAAAATCAATTTACCTTGTCAATGCTTCCTGGAGTAGAATTCCACTTTTTGGTCCTTATCCCAGGTAAGACAATATTTGCAGTTGTGTTTTGTATAAAATAACAGATATTAAAATGAACAGATATTGCTAAGACATTTTAGGTACCTTTGAGTATAAATTGGTTGTTATGGAGACTGGTAAAAATAAATGCTGATATTTTGCCCTGGGTTCATTCCTTCTAGCCTGCTGAAGAAAATTGAACGTGAAACATGGAGAGAAAGTGGTGTTTCATTAATCGCCACTGTAACCCGTCTTATGGAAAGGCTGCTGGACTACAGGTGAGCAATGGATGCATGCTTTACAGTAAGAAATATAGTATTGTCTGCATTCTTCCGAAATGAATCATTTTGGGAAGAATATAAACAGACATATATCAATCATTGAGTTGTTAGATTTTGTACATTACAAAATGTAGTCACAAAGGTCATCCTACATGTAATATGCAAAAGATGAACTTATATTTCAACAGTGCCTCACCTCTTAGACTCCTTATCTATTGAAACCTTGCATGTCACAGAGAAAATTTCTAACAGAATCAGAATGACATGCAATCTTACTGTGCCCAGAAATTTCTTCCATTTCCCCCAATTTTGGGGTGGCATATTCAGGAAATATTTATGGAATATAATTATTCATAATGTATAGCCAGTTCTAATTAGACGCTTTATACTAATGAAAAATCTGTAGATGAGTTTGATACTGGTTGCATTTCAATCAAAGCTAGATGTGCTTTTAGTACCATTAAAATCATAGGTACCTCATTTGGGGTCTCATGAAAGGGCAGAAAAATTGTGATTTAATATATTATTATTATATTTTAGTGTTAGGGGAAGAATGCCTGTGCAGTGTTCTGCCTATGATGACAAAATAAATTGATTGGCATTAGATACAGTGCCTATTAACATGAAATTGGCAGGGAGTGGGAATGAGGTGATATTCTCTCTTTTACCTTATACAAGGAAATGGTTTTCCCCTGTCCTTGATTGTCTTTGCTATACTATGTCAAGAATGAATTCAATGTCAGATGGCTTCTTTATTATAAAAAGAAAGCATTCAATGTTGTCTTTATTTTTGCTGTATGAGGTTCTACAACTGGCAGGACTATAAATAGAAAATGAATCATCTTAGACTCTTTACCTGCCTGATGCTCTCCAGTTACCCTGAACTATGCTTTCTAAAATGAGTAACAGAACAAGCCATTGTACCACATATATAAAGACACCATGTAAGAAGATTGCTCTAAATTCTGGACATAGCAGAAGATCTTTGCTAACCTCTAAAAGCTATTGGCTTCCATTTGTTCTCGCAAGGGCACTGAATTTCATGTTTTCATGCAACTAATGGGAATGAATCTGAATCTTAATAACAGGAATAATTTTATGTTCTTACTTAAAAGTTCTTATCTTCTTCTGTTGCGAGCTGTGCTTCATTGCTACTAATAATCTTTTAAAAGAGATTCCAAATTGTTATTGGGCATCATTGAAAGGTCTACATTTAACAACAGATAAGGAATTTAATTTGCCATTACCAGTGATGTTAGTATTATAATGGGCTATAATTTTTTTTAAAAACTATGCAATATGTCACAAAAATATTCCTATTGTAAATGTGGGTAGTGATGCTGAATAGATGATTTCCTGATGATCAACTTCATGGCAGAGGCAAGATCCAAATCTGAAATTTACTAATTCAGTATCTTTATTGCTAGGCTATGTCATTTGGCAACAATGTACATGCCATACTCTGGCTCTGTTAGTGTTCTAAGCACAGAGATTCTGACTGTCAGACTGTCAGACTGCCTCAAGTCAGGTCTCTTAGGAAAGAAAGACCCTAGACTCCATTTTATTGAAGTGATAGTTCTTTTACTAAAAGCTGCTGGCTGCAGTAAAGTCAGGCTCAAACTAAATTTCCTGCATGAAAAAGTTACAGATGTTTCCCCTCATCCCAGCCCGGTAGGTGGCTGTAGCATCGGCTGGAGAAATCCTGGCATTTTTCCTTGCTGCCTTTTGGCAGAGGCACAAATAGGGCCACTAGCTACATAACCTTCTATGTCCTTCTTTAGTGACAACCACCAAAACTGGTGCTTAACCAAGTGCAAGATTTTGAAAAGCCTAAATGTCCCACTATTTTTGAATCATGGCTTTTCTGTAGAACCAATAATAACTGACTTTCAGGAATGTATAATTTAGTTCCCACCCAAGCTAAGCTATCCTGCGCATACATTTGTCCTTATGGCTTTGGAACCACTTGTCCTTCGCTAGTGCCCTTTTCAGGGCATCCCTTAGGTCCTCGGCTACCTGGACTTTTAGCTTAGCTTGCCCTCTGGCGGTGACTGGAACCGCTAATTGCCGGAATGGGATAACTGGTCTAATTACCTCCAGCTTCGAATAGGGCATCTGTTATGAAGTTCTCTCCACCCCCAACCCCGGGAGATATTGCAGTATGACATTGAATCAGTTAAAGTACTGAGCCCAGCAGACTTGCTTGGATGACAATTTGCAGTGGTCTTTAAGGCTTCTAGGTTTTTATGGTCAGTCCATTTCTCAAAAAAGATTTTTCCCCTTTCCAAGGAGTACCTCCAGGTTAAGAGCATCCAGCGCACTGCATACATTTCTTTCCCCAAACCACCAACCTATGTTCAGTTTTGATAAGCTTTTGGGAGGTATAGGCACAGGTCTGCAGAACCCCCTGCTCCTTTTTCTCCAGGAGCATTGCCCCCACTGCCACATCACTAGCATCTGCTTGAATGACAAAGGGGTCATTGGTGTCTGGGTGTTTCAGCACCGGTTCTGCTGTGAACAAGTACTTGAGGTTTTCAAAGGCTGCTTGGCATTCCATTGTCCATTTCAGCAACTGGCTAGGCTTGGGGTTCCCCTTCCCTTTTGCCTTTAGTAGATTGGTGATGGGGAGAGCTGTCTGGGAAAATGATGGGATGGATTGATGGCAAAAGTTTCCCAGGAAGCTTTGTGGTTGCTGAGGGTCCATTTCTATTCCTTCATGGGAAATGCGAAACCCCAGATAATCAATTCTACTTTGATGGAATTCTCATTTAGACAGTTTGGCATACAATTGGGCTGCTTGGAGCTTTTTGATCACCACCCTGACTAATTTTATATGCTCTGCCATAGATTCGGTATGGATTAATATGCCATTCATTTAGAACAGAGGTATCAAACTCAATTTCATTGAGGGCCGCATTAGGGTTGTGTTTGACCTCAGGCCAGGTGGGCATGGCCAGTGTGAGCATGGCCAGTTCGCAGCCCTCCCAAGCTCTGTTTTTGCTGGCAGGGGCTCCGTGGGCCAGTCATTTGCTATTTCCAGGGCAGCCCCAGGGGCCAGATCTAATCACCCTGCGGGCCAAATCCGGTCCTCGAGCCTTGAGTTTGACATTCCTGATTTAGACCAAAACCTCTTTGTACAGGTGCTCATGCAGCACTTTGTTTATCACCTGTATAAATACAGCAGGGGCATCCTGCAATCCAAAGGGGAGGACTAGGAAATGGAAACATTACCCAAGCGGTAATTAAAAGCTGTTTTTCCCTCATTGCCTTCCTTGATCAGTAATTAATGTCCCACAAGTTAAGCTTGGTAAAAATCCTGCCCTTGGCCAAATGGGCTAGAATATCTTTCATCAGCAGTGGTTAGATGTTTTCAACACAAACAGTGTTTAGCCTATGATAGTCAATGCATAGATGAAGGGACCTATCCAATGTTCCCCCTAAGCTGTGCGGCTGCGTGGCTGTGCGGGCCGTACAGCCGCGCATGTAACAAGAAAACACCACACAGAAGTTTCAAACTGCTGTGCAGTGTTTTTTAATGTCTTAAAATATGACTGAAAATATCCCCTCTCCCTCCCTTCTCTCACCGAACTCTCTCCTCCATCTGGTGATTGGTGAAATCAAGGAAGACTGCCTGGAGACTGATGATGCTGCAGAAGGGAGAATTTCCATTGATCCTCTGGGGCTTTGTCGGTTCCTGGGAAAACGCGATTCGCTGGTTGTAGCCTGCGTTTCTCTGCACATCCGGGGTTTCTCAGGCATTGCATCATCTGAAGCCCCATTCTGGGTTTGGCAGTCTTTCTGCGATCCCTTCGCTTTGCAGAGAGAGGGAAGCAGCATGGAGTTGGACTGCCTGAGCCAAACGGGTCCATGGGATCTTGAGACTTGATTTTTGAGCCGTATCAATCCATTCCACGCTTTCCTTTCCCTTTCTGTCCTTCTTCTAT